GACTAGAATTTAATTTAAAGCTTGTTTAAAATTATAAATACAAAGGATTGCAATTAAGATGAAACCTGACACACAACGTTGTCTCATCTAAAGCTGGATTGATACGTATCAATCAATATATCAATCAATCAATATGAGACATGGGAATTTGTCCTGTGTGAACATCGTGCAAATAAATATATAAATACGTGTTAACAGTGTAAATATGGAAGAAAGGAAGAGGTGGTGTGTTGAAATTGTGTGCTCTCTCCACCATATTTTTCAATTAGAGCTTTTTGGGGAAAAATCCCAAAACTCTACGCTTTTATTTTTTTTCTAGTTTATTATGATCTTGAAATACTCTCCAGGATAACGGGAAAGGGATAGAAACGCAACTTATTAACTTAACTTATGGCATAGTACTTATCAATGCACATTTTCCGAAGAGAGAAGAGGACTTTTTAATCTTCAATGTTGTTCTCAAGTTATTTACAAAAACCTGAACTTCAACTGTCAGTGAAAAGAGTTTTTTTTTTTTTTGGATAAGCGAAATCTTCCCCTACTTTATCAACCATCACCAATTTTATTTGTCATTTTAAATGATAATAAATTACTTGCTTCATGGTTTCGAAAGAAAGACTTCGAAACTCAAATTTCCGACTGACAAATATCAACTAAAATTAATTAATGTTTGACAAACAAAACGCAAATAAAAATGGACGTTTTGGCCTTTGAGGATATGGACTGATAATAATGAAAAAACGATTGAAGATTAAAATATTTTAATATATAGTTAGCGTTTATCTTTAAAACCATCACAGTAAAGTTTAGTTCAATATAAAAATATTTAAAAAAATTCTTACACATTAGGAGAAAAAATTGATATCATTCTGCTGTTAGGTAAAATGCTAAAACCGGAGGGTTCTCTTAATCCATGTTATTAAAAAAAAATCATTCGGTACAATGAACAAGTTAGTTACTATCAACGAAAATGACAAATAAATTGAGGTTGGCTGATAAAGTTACAGAAGACTTTGCTTACTCGTAAAATAGGGTTTGAAAAAGTTTTAGGGAATTGAAAACGATTACTCTAAATTAAAATTCGTTTGCACAATTGAACTCAGGCACAAAAAATCTTTAAAAAAATGTACATTATTATGTATTATGTATATTATAAAGAGTTATGTTCTTATTCGTATCTCGTTATTCTTATACGTTAACTATGTTAAGTTCGTTAACTTGTGGAAAGATAGATCAAAACATTTTGATAAATTAGTCAAAAAATAAAAATTTACGTGTCACAGGAGTTTTTCCACAAAAACGCCCCATTAAATTTTTTTTTTGAAATTTTCGATTGAAAAATGTGCTTATGTGTGCGCAGGAAGGTTACGCGACTGTTTTCAAATAGGTTTTGTGATTCTTGATAAATAATATGATATTAATTTCAAGCAATTCACTATATTCAAAGGCTTGGACATGTGCACTCACATTAATTAAAAGTTAGTGAATTGGGAACGACATTAAATTCCAATAAACTACAATTTTTACAATGTATCGATCATTCTTTGAGACAAAATCTTGATCAAGATTCAAGACGGGAGTTTAACGTGCACATACGACTTGTGAAAAATAAGTTTTCTACAATTATTTGAAAGTTCAGAAGGTCCGAGTGTTCTGCGCTGTTCGGATCGAAATGAGCGTCGCCATTCCCTGTTTATTTATATCTCGTTGGACGAGATAAATAAAGGTTACTTTTGGATCAAACCTCGTAGTGGTCCGGCCGATTTGGACCAAAACATCGGCTCCCTTGTGTCACGATTACTCGCTTCGCATCACCCGAAATTGCGAATTGCGCAATTATGGAATTAAATTCATTCACTTTGATCATATTTTAAATGGAGACGCATCAATCTACATGTCATTATTCTGCGCTCATTTAGTTTTATATTAAACATGATTAGAGACAGAAAAATCACACAGTTCCATGGTTGACCGTTCAAGGATTATTATCAGTTTCTTGAGAAATTTGAAACTATAATAAGTAACCTACGAAGTTTATTGGCTTCACGAAAAATTTACAATGAACGAGATCAAACATGGTCTATGCTATAATAACGAAAATATAATGCATGAAAAACCTTTAACAAATATTGTTAAAATTAATAAGAAAATTACTTAAAAGAGAATTTCGATAACAGCATAAATAAAAAGTTATGTTGCTTTCTAAAAAATTGAAACTTCTATCCGTTACATGTACATTTAACATAATTGTCGGAAAAAATATTCATAAATTTAAATTCACAACACTTGCCAAGAGTTAAAAATTATGATATAAATAATTAAACTAATGCAACATGTATTTTCATTATGCTATTACTAATGATTTCCTTATATGTCAATTATTAAGTTTCGAAGCCTGAAAGCTTGACAATAATGTTAGAATGATAAACATTCCTTGGTAGTGTATTGATATTTTGTTTGGCCGACGGTTAGAAATATCCTTGAGCTTGTGGCAATTAACGTACAAAGAGAACGATTTGTAGACGGCACCCAGAGAACCTGAGCCGGAAACGAGGAATCATCCTTACTGATTAAGTTCGCACAGTTGCCGCTTATGCAGAGATAGGTTTATCAATGTGTCCCATACAATAGAAACTTGTCATGCATTGGCTCCTTACTGAGAGCGTGAATGTATGGCGCCGAATTTAATAACAGTTTTGGAGCGCATTAGCAGCTTTCTGGGTCACCATTTCCACTTTTATGATATGGAAATATAAAAGTATTCTTAAGGGTTGATGGCTGAATATTTATAAAGCACCTCATCGATCAAGATGTAGATTAGTTTGATTAGTATTGGGTGTAGAACGAGTACTCTCCGACTAATCAAAATATGTGCAGTGGTAGGTGTAAATGTATTAATTTGTGTGACTGTATTATAGAAGTTACGTTTATGGCTAGATTATATTTTGCATGCGTTGTTGGCTGAAATGACCAAAGTGTTGAAAACCCCTGTTAAAGCTTAAAGAAGCGATCTTCTGGCAACTAGCTTAAGGGAGATACCAGTGAACACCGCGGGCTTCTGTAAAGACCAGGGTCGGCATATCGGAGAGTGACAATCTCCTGAGTGAAATTTCAATAATGTTAAAATTTTAAAATACCGGTAAAATCTATTTTATTATATACGGGGTCAGACGGATGGAAATATCCTTGGGCTTGTCAATATTTTGTTACAGGAACAAGGTAGACAATCGGTTATTCTGAAAATTTGAAGAACAAATGCATTCCTAATATTTGTATAAACAAAAACCTTTCGGGAAATGTATTCATGAAGTTAAAAATTTAAATCGGTTATGAATTTTACATCACTGCAAAGAGTTTTGTACGTCTTTACTGTGAATAAATTTGTATCTGGTTCTGTGTTTTATGTTAGTACCTTGTTTATATGTATGCACGCATGTATACATATCTGTGTTTGTTTTTTATTTATTTTACTAATAAGCTTTTCTTTTTAGCATTTTGTAAACTTTACAACCACCCTTAATAGTAAGAATGACGCATAACAAAAAATACAATACATAATAATTACTGTATGAATAGTGTTTTATTTAAGAATCTCGCAAATTTAGATGGCAAAGATCTCTTACATTTAATGAAAAAAACTCAAGAAAGAGAGAGAGAGAGAGAGAGAGAGAGAGAGTGAGAGAGCGAGTGAGTGAGAAAGAGGGAGAGAGAGAGAGCGAGCGAGTGAGTGAGAGAGAGTGAGTGAGAGAGAGTGAGAGAGAGAGGGAGAGAAAGAGAGAGAGTGAGAGAGAGAGAGAGAGAGGGCGAGTGAGGGAAAATGTGGTATTTGTGTGTGTATTTTAATCTGGCAACTTCCATCACGAGAAAACATGTAACATTGGATTTTTCTCTTTCCCGTAAATTTTCGTAAGTACAACTGGGAAAGAGAATGGAATTGAAAATGGCAGCATATTTTATAACATCAAATTATATTGTTTTACGACATTCAACAATTTAACGTTGTGTTTGTCTTGTGCGCGCGATGGTTTAAAAATGCTGTCGAACTAGAAACCGAGTTTCCAGATTTATTTGAATGCTGGAATTGAGCAGTACTGAACTCAATTTTTGATGGTAAAATCCTCGAGGCAGTTTTCATATCATTAATTTTTGCATCGTGTTTTGCACCGGAGTTAAATTGCTCGATCGAAGAGACTGGGGATGAGGATCGGCTTAAGGGTCTGCTTGTTTGGTTGAATGAGTATAAACGTCATATATAGATTGGATCTGACCAAAAGCACTATCTTTAGCGGTGGGTCCCTCGCTTTTGTAAGATTATTACTCAGCAGCTTAACCTTAAACGATGTTCCCACGGCGATTGGCTTGACGAGCGTACTCATACATTTGTCATCTGTTGCGGTCTGTCGTGGTCTGTCTTATTCCGACCGCAAGTCGTTCCCATGGCGTGGACAGGCTTCTGACTTGGCAAAACGCGAGGGACCAACTAGCCACACATTGCGTAATTGTTTTAACTATGTCAGTTTTGATTTAAAGAACAACGCTAGTAATCTAATAGTTCCTGTAATCAATTTTATTTAAAGATGTTGAAAAATGAATTTAGTTCAGAAAAAACCGGTACAACTGGAACAAACCATATCAGATCGTGTGAAATGTTACTCGACCCGAAATGAGGCTTGCCATCCGTGGAGCCCCAAGCCATGGATGTCGAAATATTTACCGACAATATTGACCAAGCCGAGCCACCTCAAGTCACCTCTAGCAAAAACGAGTCTTTCCTTTTCCACGGCATGAAAGATGGCAAACTTCGAACACTTCTTCAGGCTCGCCAAGCCACACACCATAGGAAAACTTAACCGTACCTAACCATCCTTGAATGAACCACTCAAGGCATGCTAATATTCTTGTTTTCGATTTCTTTACTAATCATGCTCATTGTATGCTAGTTTTTTAAAACATATTTGTGATGCGGTTGAATTGACAAATCTTTTGTGAAAAACTCTTACCTGGCTGCAAACGGGACCGAAGGTATCTGCAACTTTGACACCCGACCAAGGCAAGGGCGAGCCGGGCGGCATGAACCTGAGATTCCCGACTGGGGCGGCGGCGTACGGCACCCCGAGGAACGTCTGGACGGGTTTGAGGGCAGGGTCGTTTGGTCTGCTGACTATGCCGACGATGTCGCCCTGCCTAAGTTTGACCGTCCTCGTTTTCTCAATGTATGACTCCCTCCAAGCCCCGACGAGACCGAGAAAGAGTAGTAATGGCCACACTGGCATTCTTTCATGTTTCCACCACAGCACTCGCGGCGCGACTGAATCTATTCCAAGACGAAAATAGTCAGCGTGCCCGGGTGGCGACATTCGTCTATACTCGTTAGCCATCGGGACAACTAGATCAACAACAACAAAAAATCAACCTTAATATTCGAATTATTTTTATGGACAATCGTCTTCACCTTACTAACTTACTACTAAAGTTGATGAAATCCATTAGGAAAATGTTTCGATGTGCATAATGAAAAATAAAGAAAATTAAATGTTATAAATCTCAAGTGGGTATAGTTAAATTTGCCCAAAGTGGAAAAGATTCGAAAATATTTGATGAAAAGGCTGTTTTACCCGCCACCTGATTATATTTGATACTATGAAAATTCAAACCACCCTTTTTTTCCTTACACACAAAATTAATTTAATTAATTAGCATGAACAATTTTATTCGAAGTTTGCAATATAAATATATATTTTTCCATTTGAGAGATAACGTTTTCCCAATATGTGAAAATTTATTTTCTAAATCATTACGTGCTTATTTTATGTTTTATTTTTTAATTGTTGTTTCCTTATAAATTTATATGGAATTAATCAAGAAAACCTAATCTTTCCTTCTACATGCTATACGTACAATATTTTATTTAATACCCACAGGGACATGGTACTTATTAAATAAATTTGTTGTGTAATTGCGGGAAAACCGTCGGTGTAGATTTGTTTACTTCTATTTGTCCTTTAAATTGTATCTATAATTAATTAAGGTTTTTAGTTGAGGTAAAAGACAATATGATGAGCGGGATTCGAACCCACGACCTTCCGCTAGTTACGCCACTACTCGACAACTTGAGCTATCGTGACTTCGATCCACTCAGACACAACTTCCCAACTCAACCCAACCTTTTGAATTTTCCCTCCTTTTTGCCATTTTTCAAATGTCGTATAATCTATTTGATTCTCGGCGACAAGTGAAATGGCCAGGGAGAGCTTTAATGAAGTATACTTCATTTTAAATTATTAAATTCACAAGTTTTCGTGGTCCGCTTTACCAATTAATATCTTCCCATTACCTTATAAGTTAGTTATAACATTATTGGAAGCTGCAGTACTATACCCATTATCCGCTGATGATGAAGAACTTTTGTTAAATGAATTTTATGTATGCATATAATGTATAGGCTTAATTAGCAGGGTTTTCATGTGCTATGCAGTTGAGATGAGCCATTTCAATTGTCGTCGAGAATCCAAACCGATTACACTACATTTGAAAAATGGCAAAAGGAGGGAAAACTCATTAGGTGGGGTTGAGATGGGATGTTAGTGTCCGATTGGATCGAAGTCACGATAGGACAAGTGGTAGAGCAGCGGCGTATTTAGCCGAAGGTCGTGGGTTCGAATCCCGCTCGTGACATTGACTTTTTTATCTCAACTAAAAACCTTAATTATTTGAAAGATATTAATTGGTCAAGCGGACCACGAATACTAGTGAATTGTATCTATAATGCTCCTCCTGATACCATCGATTATATTTTATACCGGATCGCTGATATACTGACTATACTCATTATCCGCTGATGATGAAGAACTTTTTGTTAAATGTATTTTATGTATGCATATAAAGTATAGGCTTAATTAGCAGGGTTTTCATGTGCTATGCAGCCCAAGATAGAAAGGTAAGCAGTACATTGAAGTTGTGAAGTTACAAAATATTTCCTAAAAAGATTGATTTTCTTCAATACACCTTAACTTCTACCTTCTACCCTTTCTTGAGTAAGGGCTAAGCTGATTTGATAATTGAACCACTTTCTTTAGGAAGTTTAATTTATTAATTTATATGAGTTTCGAGATGAAGGAAAACTACAGGACAACTTTAGAAATAAATAATATACAAACGATCTTTACAATTTTTCTTCCTCCCAACTCCTCTCTTCGAAAATTACTGAAAGATTTAAAAACTAATGAGGGACTTTCTGAATTTAAATGGTAAATCTTATTTTAAAAAAGAAATCTGTTGCTCATTTAGTCACTCGGAAAGAAGGATATATTTCCTTTTCTGACTAGTTGTCCCAGATTGTTAAAATTTAGAAAAAGGTGGTTAAAAAAGTGTATTTTAAAACAGACTGAATTCTTAAAATTCTTAGATTGAAAAACTGGAAGTGTTACAAGTTTTTATAAACAAGCGTATTGCTATAAAAAAAAGATATTAAACCCATATAATTTTAGATTTTCCAATTAAACATTTGGTAATTGCATTTCGTAGATTTGGAGGCGGCGATAGCCGAGGAGAGATAGAGGGAGACGGCTATTTCGGAGACTCGATCGTTCGTCAGGATTGCCTTTTATTCCGAATCCGTCATCGGGGCGATAGTAATCCAGGTCTTCGCATTTCAAAGTCCTTAAAATCCCACAAAGGAGGTTCTATGTGGATGCCAGTCACTCTCACTCGGACGCTCATTCACTCCTTAAGAATCTAACAAAGGTCTAGCCAACGGTCGCATTCAAAGTCCAACTTCAACTAGTCACTGGCCAGTGACTGACACTAAATGCTAAACTGTAACGGACTCCTGACTAACTAACGAATGCCAACTCAACTTAATTACTGACTACTCCGTACTCGTCTACCTCCGCTCACTTGTTGTATGTTTTGTAGCACTGGTTGCTTGCAAACGTCCCCAGAGGGCTTTCTTCCCCTGGCTGCCATAACCCGCTGACTGTACTACTCTATAATTTCTTTAGCTTTGCTTTGTTGAGATTTCTCGATCGACGAGGGTAGAGAAAAAACCTGTTGCTTCGACATCTATATATCCTTATTCTAATCCTTCAATTCCGTTACGCAATAATTTTTATGAAATTATTTATAAATTAGTTACAAAACATTATGAACTATACAAAAAATAGTCTTCTCACGACTTTTATAAATAACCAAACAAATATTGAACTTTTTGTGGATTTACCTAAAGTTTTGCATAAAAATAAAAATTACTATTGCAATAGCAATTAATACTATTAAATCTCATTTTTATTAATCAATCTTAGATATACTTGAAATACAATTATACAATTTACTTTTAAAAAAATTGCTCAGTCTGTAAGATCGCCAAAATAAATTTGGAAACATTACGAACATTAATATTTTAAAATGAAAATTATGAAAATTTACAGATACAATGATTGAAGTAATGATTTGGATAATTTGAAAAAGCGCTTTCCTAAGACCAGAAAAATTGGAATGGAAAAATAATACCCTCAAAGCTAAAATCAAAAGATACCAATTTCTTTTTATTGTCAATCTGTGTCAATATGTGTTTTCGTAACCAACGTTTTTATTGTTGGAAAACCGCATTAATAATCATCATATTTTGTGTTAAAAATATAATTAATTCAAATAACGATGATTCATTAACCATATGATTACGACCGTCTGATATATGTTTTCTATTCAATAAACATAACTAATTAACTATCAGCAGTGTCAAACGTCTATGACATATAGAAAATGTCCAATATCACAAAGTATATTTTCTACGGAGTAGTATGGATCTTTTTCGTGTTGGGCTCATCTGTGGATTGTTGGCAGAAAGATAAAAATCTTGATGGTCAGCTAGCTAATTTAAAAGATTACAATTACGTTGCATCTCTACAAAATCGAGCAGGTGAACACAAATGCGGGGGTATCATTCTGACCCCTCGGAAGGTCATAACTACTTGCCTTTGTGGCAGTAAACTTTCTCTGATGGAGATGAGGGTAGTGGCTGGAAGCTCCCATGTCTCTCCAATAGTCCCCGGATACCAGGTGAGGATAGTAAAAACAATACAAAAGCATCCGAGCTGCAAGTTGGGTTCTGACCTTTTCGTTTACGACATAGCCCTCGTGGACGTCAAGTACGAGTTCATTTTCAGCAAATTTCTCAATGCATTTCCCACATTCTATCGATACAAACTCAATACAAGAAACGAGCAATTATATAACAGCGGAGGAGCGACGCATTTTCAATTGATAATCAGAACTTCTTCGCGCTGCGACTTGGTCGGCTTCGGTCTCGATCGATTAATCAACGAAACTAGTGTATCTAAAACTGCCAGGCTCAATAAAGCCGAAGTGACAATGTTGAATAACGAAGCGTGTGATGCAGAATTGAGTTCGTGTTGCGCCTTTCAGACAAAAAAATCCGGAAAGGTCAGTCCTAACGGCAAAGCTTGCACGACGACGGCCACTTCTAGGGGATGCAGAGAAGACGAAGGGTCTCCGTTGGTCTGTGAAAAAAAAGTTTGGGCTCTCTTATCCAAGACGGTAGATTGTGGAAAAAGCCCTACCTTATACCAGAACATTTACTTCGGTCTACGAATGTGGAAAGATTTCATCATCTTCCGCTAATCACAATGCCTTCGAACCCTTATTGGCATTTGGCCCTCACACTTCTCATCAGCAGATTCATTTAAGAAACATTTATTTAATATCCATGATGATCTTCCAAATAAGTATATTTAAAAGTCTTAGTAACTTTAACTTTCCTTACGTTGATTTATAATTTTTGTAACGTGTGGATGCGATAACCATCTGATCTATCGTGACTTCTGTCTCCCGGGAGACGAACCTCAACCTACAACTTTTCAAGTGTTTCTCGTTTTGCCATATATTCAAATTTCGTGCAATCGGATTCGATTCTAGGCGATACTGGGGAGTTCTTGAACTTCACTCTTCGACAATCTGAATTACTTTTATCGATCACAATAAATAAATTAAAAATTCAGAATATTAATCCAAGTTTTGTCGAATGAACATTTCTATACGAGTGTATTTCAACCACGAGGTTATATGAACCTACAATGTGCCGGCGTTTTTGTAAAAAGCGCATTTGTAAGTTACACAGAGCTGCTGGATTCCAACCCGGGACCTTGCCTAACAGCGATGATCATCGTGTCAACGCTACCGTCGTGGCCACCGATACCCCTAATGAACATTTTTTGAAACATTAGCTTAGTTTCTCTATTAGTTACTCTAAAATATATATACACATATATATATATATATATATATATATATATATATATATATATATATATATATATATATATATATATATATATATATTTATTTATATATTTATATATTTGGCTTACAACGAGACGAGCCAATCATATTTTCACAGAGAAATATGCTATCGTTGTACACGTATAAATCCTGTCAATGGAATTTATTCTTACAAGAACTTTTAGATGTGATGGTCCAAAGTAAAGGTTATTTGTGAAACAGTACATGTTGCTTCGGAATTTTATATTTTCGTTTCTCTGAAGAGATATTTTAGAATGGTTGGATTTATCCTTATATGTATGAATAAACATACAAACATGTGTCGAGTTGAGGCTATTCGCTTCTCGCAGTGCACCGGCAATTCTAGTAATAAGCTATTTTACAGTAAACTGCAGGCAGACTCGAGGCTCATCCACGCCGGGTGTTGCAGCCCGGCGGAAGAGAGAATTTTCCGTCCAGCCACCGAGGTTGTGCTACGGTGCCCCAACATCGTAGTCAATTTAATTCCCAACACATGCACTTCCAAAGCCATTCATACTCACGTTTATGTTTAAATACATTCTCTCCTTTTTACATATCAGTCATTCAATTGCGGTGGTGGAACACTCGATATTCCTCCATCATCATTGACACATATTGTACCACTCAACTAATTGATGATCGTTGAGGTACTCGACATTCCACCATCGACCCTCTGGCATCACACATTACACTAACAATTCACGTTAATAAGTACATTCACGATAATAAATACATTCACTACAAAACACAAGCTAGGTAGAGACTATATATAATTACTACTATTACCACTACAATTGATACTATATGCAATAGAATAACCTCGTTTCTTCCAAGAATCGGAACAGTGAACAAAAATACTCGCTGCTATTTCTGATTGAACATTCTTATCTAATGATTTTATAATTTAACCTTACCGCACGTGCAAACAACACATAAAACCTATGTCTAACATGTGTTACGTAAACTATCAACTAATTATACCTATTTTTGTATACTGCTTAGATGTATTTTGAAAATTTTACTGCTTTCAATGGCCAATCGTATTGCTTTGTCTAAGCCCTGGCTTTTTAAGTACTATTAACTACTAGATAGTATTAAAACGATGATGGTGAATCCTTCGATAGTTATTTTATATGGGGCTCACATTAAAAAGTTACTGCAAAGTTGTTGTTCGAGAGCACTTGTTATACACCCTATTATTCACCGACATGCTTCACTGACGAGTGCGGTTCAATTCTGAATAAATCCTACTCAATAAAAATGAAAATGTATTTATCTTACAAGAAGTTATGATAGTAGCGAATCCAACCGTTGATTCAAATTCGGTTATTGCAAAAACAAAGAACTATACGTAAAATGAAACAAGCCACTGTATTACCGTGGTTTTTCGTTGTAGCGGACATAACATTGCCTTATAAACTGGTATTTTTCTGACATCTCCTACACATAAAACCGTTAAAATAGTTTTTCACTTTTCCAGACATGACGTTTATATAATTCCTTAATTTTATACACAATTTCTGAAAATATGGTTTATTTATTTAGCTATATGATTTATTTATCAGTTGAAACTATTTTTATAATAAAACTTTAAATGGCGAAAACGAGTGCGCACATTATCAAAAAAATAAAACTTCCGCTAATTCGAGAAGCGAAAGACAAAAGTACGTATTGACTCCAGAAGTCGCTCCCGTAAAACACATCTTGATACATAGCTGGATCATCATTACATTCGAAGGGCCGGGAAAGCAAGGCCCAGACTTTATCACGGCAAATGATAGGTGCTCCTACGTCGTTCTTGCACGGTGTTGCAGTCGTCGTCGCGCATAATTTTCCTTCGGTTTGCATCGTACCAAAATCGTCGATCCCTCTCAAGCAGCATTTCAATAAAGACTCTTTGCACTCCGCGTCAGGCATGAGTTTTACAACCGCTTGAACCAAATGGGAGTTATTTGTATTGACTTTGTCTTCGTCGTACCCCACAATATAACATCTCTCTCCATTACTTTTCATTTTCCCAAAAAATTGTACCTCCCCCCGGTTTTCTATAGATTGTTTTTTACTGTGTGAAACAAAATTGTACGGATTGGGAAAAAGTGCGACATTTTTGTTTAAGACGAATTTGTATTTAACCCATAACAAACCCAAATCGTATTTATATGTTGTTACCAGATGACAGTTTTTATGCTTTCTAGCTTTTTGAGCCATTCTCACTTGATACCCCGATACTGTTGGATATTGATATCTGCTGCCTACGACGACTCTCACACCGGAGATAATATTCTTTTCGACATAATCATTCACACAGTGGCAGGTGGTGAGAACGGTCATTGGAGACAGTAAGACCCCTCCACAACGATGTTTACCGACGACAGTCTGCACAGAAGCGAAATATTTGTAATCGCCTGGGTTGACGACAGATCCTCGAGTTATTTTATTATCCAGTGAACAAACGGCATTCGCGATTAATAATAAACACATCAAATGTACCCATAATAAAGACATTTTTAAAGTTATTCTTTCTTTTTTATATAATTCTTAAATATAATGGCATAAGTATGGCCATACATCATATGTTTAAATATTAAAAAAATTATTGAACAGGTGATGCTTACACCTAGATTGTAAGTTCGCTTTTACTTTATAAATTAGGATTTTTTTCAATGTTTCAGACAAAAAATCGGCCCCCAGTTATCCAGTAAGCCATGACTTATAAAGCTGATAGTTCTTGAATTGTTGTTTTGGATATTAATTATATTATCTGATAATAGATAAAAGTATATAAATTAAAAATACATTTCCTTATTTCATCGAAGTTAAAAGTTTCCTCGGTCAAGCTGGTAATAAAAATTGTGATCAAACTTTACAATCCTGTTGCAACTTATCTTCTGTTATCAATGTCCACAATTTCGAAAGACCTTGCACCAATCTAGTAAAGTCTCCCGGATGAATCTGAGATCAAGGTGGACCGTTAATATGCAAAAATAATGGGTGGTGAATAGTGACCCTTAATCGATAATTATTCAGAAATCGTGAGATGCGGTCTGGTGTGATGTAGGTTTCAGAAAAACATTTTCTTTGTCGTGCCAACGTTTCGTTCTTTATTGAGATCATCTTCATGGCTGAAAGTGTTTGTCTTCTGTGTAATTGTGCCATTCTTGTGTGTCGTGTTGCGAGTGCCCACAAAAGCAGCCAGAGGGCACTCTCGACAAGACACGTAAGAATGGCACAATTACACAGAAGACAAACACTTTGAGCCCTCAAGATGATCTCAATAAAGATCGAAACGTTGGCACGACAAAGAAAATGTTTTTCTGAAACGTACATCTCACCAGACCGCATCTCACGATTTCTGAATAATTGCAAAAATAATGTTTGGGCTATCTTGTCCACACCATAAAATCGCTGGAAGGGTTGGGGATTGTATCAAAGCTTATACTCTGGCTTCTCCATCTGGAAACAGAATATAAAATCTCCGGCCCACCATCGACTTTTATAATCGAATTGCAGCAAGAATTACTGAAATCTGTTCGGAGTAGGTATGAACGGACACGGTGCTTGTCTACCTTACTGAGAGGGTAGAATGTAGCAAGGTGTGATGCTTATTCGTTTCACAATCGACAAACACGGGTAGATGCGCATTGTTGTCTAGGATGGGTACCTAGACAATTAAAGGCAGCGCTTTGGTTTGGCGCTGAGAGACATATTGTTTCGACAAATGAGAACATTGGGTAAAGGAATGATTTTCTAACCATAAAGGGCACGAAAGTTTTTCAAAGGAATTGTTAAGGTGATGGTTTCATAGATTGTGCATGTTTGCCCATGATGAGGAAGATCGTAAGAAGACGAACATAGTTCATAAGAATATTCACAAGACTCACTTCGTTCAGTTTAGATTTCCACAAGAAGAGCAAAAGTTGGAATATCACGAGTATTGTTCTTACTTTCAAAATATCTTTGTGTGGAAGAGTGGTAACGCTAAGTGTGCAAGAATAAGATAGTATAAATCATTTTTCCTATAGCTTGGAGGGCACTAACTACATGTTTATGTTTCGTTAAAATTTTTTTACAGAAACGCTTTGATGGGTTTTTGCTGAAGAAAATAACAAAATTCGGTTTATCAACATGTTGACAAGAAGTTTTCAATTTTGGTACCTTTCCAGTTTTTCATTTTTTTGGCCTTGCTTTTACAAAGAATAGGGAATTGGGCCGAAAAAATAAAATTTTATCGAAGTTTCAAGCGGCCTTTCGAAATTCATGAGTAGACTACAAGTTACTATATTAAAGCTGAAAACAGTTAATAGAACGAGATGGTATGTTTT